TCTGCAACTAGGGAGAATGATTTTGATTACTTTTCTAAATGCCAGGTATCTTATAAAGAGAAAAATCAGAAAGGAAAATGAACAGCTTAGGGTCATTAATTCCAATAGAGGGTTATCCAATTGGTTATATTTTGCTGCTAGTCAGTATGCTCTGAAACAACCTCAGAAAAGATCAAGGCAGGTGTCTATATGGTGAGGCCTCCCCTTTCCAGGCTGTGTTAGAGCACACCAAGTGCATGGTGCACCCCCTAATCCAACCCATTTACTGTGGGAGGAATTAGATAAGGAATCATTTAATCTGTGTGGGAGAGGGTTAGGTAATCCTTAGTTAAAGATGAGTTTTGACATGAAAGCCTAGATAACACAGGGAGGTTGATATTTTCAGCCTTTAATTCTGATTGAGCAAATGACCAGAACAGATCAATTATGCTGTCTGGTTAGAAAGTGTTATCAAGCCAGTAGGAAGCTGAAATCTGGGTTCTGGATGCTGGGCTGGTTCTTGCTTGGTTTGCTTTAGAGTGTCCCAGGCACATACATCATATACTTCTGTTCAGTCTGAAAGAGATTTTCTTCACCTGATCTGTTTTATTTAGGAAAAACTCTGTGATGTATCACTCAAAAATAGTGTGACTGAGAAAAGATTTTAGTACATAAGAATGGAATATAAATTATGTTATGACAAGAAATAAACAAGTATTCAGAGGATCCTAGAAAACCTTCTATATAATATAAAGAGATCATTTGAACCATTGAAGGTTGTATTAACTATAATAATCATTTTGAAGTGGTTGAAAACATGAGATTAACTAAAAGAAAAAAATTAATGTTACAAAGAAACATAATATATAAACACAAAATTATCAATTCTTGCCCCTAAAATCCTAATTTTCAATCTTAAAAATGGCCACACACATAATCATCCTTATCCAATAATGAATTAAAGGTATAAATTTTAATTTATAGGAAATCCTTGTTCTGCTAATAAAAAATTACTTTATGTAAGTTTGCCTAAGACTTAAACATTGGTTAAGTGATGGGTCCAGGACTTGAAACCAGGTGTTCTGATACCAAATTCTAAGATGTTTAACTACCCTAGGGTGCCTGTCCAGTGAGAATCAGAGCTATAGGAGAATTCCCGGAGGAGAAGGAATGTGATGGCTTGGGAACCTGAGAGGAGAGTCCAGCAAAAGAAAAGGTGACAGAGCAGAGGAGAGGAAGTACCGGGGGAGCGTTTGGTTCTAGAAACCAGGGAGTAACAGGAGGTTAAGAGCTTGTGGAGTGAGGGAATGGTTAGCATGCTGGAGCTCAGGATTCTCAGTGCTGAAAACAGATCCCTTTCTACCACACATGCCTTTTTTCATTGCTCACTCTCACTTCCCATGTTTTATCTTTAGCTCCTGAACTAGATTATGAATTCCTTGAGGGCAAAGTCCATGGCTTGTTTCCCTTCTAGTCTCTGTACTCTCTAAGGCAGAGCTGCATACATGGGCCGGTAGGAGATGTGAACACGCTCTGCCTGTAGCTGATTAACCATCACTAACGTTTTTCCAAAAGCACAGTCTATAGTGCCAAGAGCACATTTGTTTAAAATGTGCGCTTAAATTTGAATGAATCTGCCTAAATGATGCCATCTGTTCTTAGGCAGTTTCATAAATGGTTTAATACAATTTTACCTTTGGAAGGACGAACGTAGGGGCATGCTTATGAGACATAAAGACGTCCTTAAATAAACACAGAGTGGACACCCGCACATTGAATCACACATAAACAGCTACATATAAAGAACGTTTCTGAGGTTTAAAAAAATTTTAGCTGAGAGGACACCAACTACTACTTCATGCAGAAAATATTTATGAGAAGTTACAAAACTGTAGGCATGCACTCCTCCAGCATATTACTACATTTTAAATATAGACTCCAAAAATACAATTTGATGTAAATTTCACATTCTTTTGAAATGGGTACACTCTTCCAGTGTTTGTTAATAGCCACATTTTACTGTGTTGTCAGTCTATCAATTTAGAAGCTGGAGACAGCTGTTGGAGATAGGCTCTGTTACTCATTTGTGTCAATAGTTAATTTGACTTTCGTTACAGTACCATAGGATTTATTGTTATGTGAGTATAATGGTAAAATGAAGCCCGTGTTTAAGTTCTGCAGGTAATGTACAGTCACTTCCAAAACACCTCAGCTTAGGTTCTCAATTTGAGTTTGCAGTTGTATATGCACAATTATTTGCTGATTCACTTTAGCATGCAAAATCACACACTGGCTAGGTTTCTGTATAGTAATTATGGTAACAAGTCGTGGGTAAAATTTTCAGCCTATTAACTCACTAGCTACATCATCATCACCAAAATGTGGTGTATGACAGTATTTTGACGTCTGCGTATTTTGCAAGTCAGTGTAAATCAATATGGTATATGTCAAGAATTTATATTTACAGAAAGAATTGCTGGTTGAAATAACATCCAAGTACGTTACCCTCTCTGAATATATAGATACATCCATATGGAATTCTTACGTTGAGTACCATTTTGTTAACACATTTACTCATATGAACATTCTTTTGGAATGTATTTAGGTAATTTTCAATTTTGGATATTTTTAGATATCAGAATTTGCTTCTGATAACTTTTAAATGAAAGAAATAGGATACTTTGCGTAAAGTCAAAGTCCCCTTCTCGGCCTTTTGCTTCGCTCCCTCACAAAAGCAATTACTGTCATTAATTTGCTGTGCCCTTCCAGTCCACATTTCTGTACGTTACTGACCTAAGTTATAGCACCACGAATGAATATTTTCAGATTATACTGCTTTTTTAATTATCTAAGTTCTATCATATGTTTTTATCATTCTTCAACTTGCTTTTTTTCCTCAGCATTGTAGGAATCCATCTATATTAATCTATCCAGAAGATGCTTCATTTTAACTTCTGTATAGTTTAAATTATCCCAGTTTATTAATCTTTTCCACCACAGATATTCATTTAGGTTGTACATCTTGTACCAACTTCTTGCTATCCCAGGGTTGCAGTGAATGTCCATGTCAGTGTGTATTTTCTCTCTCTCCCCCCTTCTCTTCCACCACCAGCCCCCTCACAGTATACCTGTCCCTGTTCCAGGTTTCTCTCTAGGAAATACACCTAGCAGCCTATTGCTGGGTTTGTGGTTTATATGCATTTGCAGCCTTACCACACATTGTCAGATTGCTCTCAAAAAAGGTTCTTAATTTATACGTATTGTGCATACACCAGCAGTATATAAAAGTTCCCATTTCCTTATATCCTTACAAACACTTGTTTTGTTAGATTTTTTTTCATTTCTGCCAGTCTGATGAATGTGAATGAAATTGTTTATCATTATGGCTCTGATTATTTGTGAGTTTTAGAATTTTTTTCAAATACTAATTCACCGTTTCATATTTCTTTACAGGTTGCCTGTTCATAACCTTTACTCATTTTTTTCTGAGTGTCTTTTTCTTACTGATTTGTGAGAGTTCTTTATTTCAAATATTAATTTTTTTCTGCCATAGGTATTCCAAATACATCTCAGTCTTTTAACTTTGTGGTAGATTTTATCACACAGAAGCTCTTCAGTGTTGCAGTATTTGGTCAAATATTTCAAATCAATCCATTTTTGTGTTTCATATCTTATCATAAAATATCTATTACTACCTTGGGTTAACTACAATATGTTTCCATATTCTCTTATATTCGTGTTAAAACTGTGTATTTTACACATAAGTCTTCAATGTTCTGGAATTTATCTGTATATCTAGTATGGGAAAGCAGTCAAAATTTACTTTTTTCACAATGGATAGCCAGTTATTCCAGCACCATTTATTAATTAGTCCATCCTTTCTCCACTGTGGTATGATGCCCCCTCTGTCCTCTACAGTGTTCCTGAATGAGCCCAGCATGTTTCACTGAGCTAGTTATGTTCCTGTACCAATACCACACTGTTTTAATTACTGTAGCATTTTGATATGCGTTGGTACATGGCAGGAGAAGGCCTTCCTTGCTCTTTCACAAAATTGTTTTGGTTATTTTGCAATATTTGATTATTTTTTTTCTACAAACAAAACCTATGGCATTTCTATTTCAGTTGCATTGAATATATAGATTAACATAGAGAGATTAATACGTGATTAATTTTGAGTTTTTCCATCCATGAAAATGGCATGTTAATATCTAAGACACCGTTAATTCAGGTTTTCTTTTTGTATCTTTTAACATTATTTTATAATTTTCCTTACAAATTACACATCTTTTATAAGATTAAAGCTATATTACTTCATGATGTTACCATTATGAATGATATTATATTTCCTGATTACCTGTTGCTAGGTTACTAGAATTTCCTTGATCTGGCTTGTTGATCTTGCATCCAGCAACCTTGCCAGACTTTTTAGTTTTTAACAGTTTGTAGATACTCTTGCATTTCCTATGTACACCACCATATTTTCTGTACATGGTGACATTTTAATCCCTTATTTTCCTGTCACTATGCCTTGTATTTTTTCTTGTGTACTACATTGGCTGAGATCTCTGGTTCAGTGTTGGGTAGTAGTAGTAATGTTGGGCATCCTTGTCTGTGGGTTGTGTTTATAATTGTGTAATGAATTCTCTCAATATGCACATTCTCACCTCTTTTCCCATGACATTCACATTAAGCATTTTCAATACGGCTAGCCAAGGTTAAGGTATGGGTTGTAGTTATGTAAATGAAATAAAGTTATCATATTGGTAAGAAGACCCATGCTTTACCTCATTTGAACTCTCTTTACTTTCTGAATCAATCCCTCCACCTCTGTTACCAGTTATTCAGCAATACATTAAAAATAATTCCCTTTAAGGGTCTCAATACAAGTGTTCTTGCATTTGACAGCATTGGCTTCCTGGGAAATGTCTTATCATTAGAAACATAAATTTAAACTTGTTGATATTCTTTAACAATTCTTACTATTCATATTATCTTTGTTTTGTAATTCTTTTTTATAGACTCCTATGAACCAAGCTTCAACTCGTTCCCACTGCATTTTCACTATTCACTTGTCATGCAAGGAACCAGGAGCTGTAACTGTCCGACATGCCAAACTTCATTTGGTTGACCTGGCTGGCTCAGAGCGAGTTGCAAAGACCGGAGTAGGGGGTCTACTACTAACAGAGGCCAAGTATATCAACTTGTCACTCCATTACTTAGAACAGGTAAAATGGGCAGAATGGGCTGTAACTGTACCTACCATTTATCAACTGCATACTTTGTTGCATCAGGCAGTCCTCTGACATTTCTGTTTTGTTGTGTTTCTTATTTTATTGTAGTAAAATATACATAAAATAAACTTGATAATTTTAATCATTTTTAAGTGTACAATTCAGTGCCATTAATTCAGAACATTTTCACAATTCCAAACAGAAACTCTGTATCCATTAAACAGTAACTTCCTATTTCCTTGTACCCTCAGCACCTGGTAACTTCTGTTCTACTTTCTGTCTATCTGAATTTTTCTATTCAAGATACTCATGTAAGTGGAATCATACAATATTTGTCCTTTTCTGTCTGGTTAATTTCACTTACCATAATGTTTCCAAGGTCCATCTATGTTGTAACATGTATCTAAATTTCATTCCCTTTTAAGGCTAGGTCATGTTCCATTGTATGTACAGACCACATTTTGTTTATCTATTCATCTATCAGTGGACCATTGAGTTGTTTCTGTCTTTTGGCTATTGTGAATAATGTTGCTATGAACATTGGTATAGCTACTACCATTTTGTATATACCATTTCATTTAAACCTTACATCAGCCCTACACTATAGATGTCAGCTAGTATCACCATCTTACACATTTTAAAATTCAGATCTTCCTGTGGCCTTCCCAAGATTACCAGCTAGTGGTGAGATGAGGATTTGAGTCTCAAATTGCTTTTGTCACTATGCCTTATTGTTTTTATCATAAAATTTATAGTGGGTGCAAATACAGCTTATAAATGGCCTCCTCTGGCCAATTTTTTTCAGGCTAATAATTAGTGATGGGAGCAAAATTTAGAGATGACCAATATCTTTTCAGCTTCTGGTGATATCATCTAGTCACAAAGGTAATTTGGACCCTGTAATACTTCTCTTTGGCTTAGCTTCCCCTCTCTACCTGACCCCAAAGTTACTAGAGTCTACCCCAGGATCTGCCCCATTTTTCATGCCTGAATTTGACTTCCAGGGCAAAAAAATGTCATCTGAATTTAGCTAAATAAATGTTCCAGAAAGAATTTCCATCCGTAAATTGAGTGGAATGAATTAGATGATTTCTGAAGTTCCTTTCAGCTCTGTGAGTGTAGGTGCTATAGGTGAATCTTAAGAGTGGCAACCACTTCCAAATTCTCAAAAAAGAGAGACACATCGTCAAAAACTGGAATGGAGAAGAACAGAATAGATTGGCAAAGGGAAAGGACTTTAATGAATGTTGGAAGTCGAAAGATTTGAAATACAAAAAAAAACTTTTTTTAACTGCCTAATGAATCCTTTTAAGACTGATGTTGTCCTGATGTTAAGTGCTTCCTAATGTCCCATCGGCTGGAGCAGCAGGTTGAGGAGCTCTAAGGGAGCTCTGTGTGAACAGGGGGCGTGCATTAGGCTCTAACGGAATGCATCCCAGGAAGCAGCTCCCAGGGATGAAGGCCTGAATGGCATTTACACCATTTTAGTGTTTCTGACAAGAGTCAGCATTCCTGAGCTCTTTCTTTCTCAAATATTACATACTAGTTTTATTTAAGAGTTTTTTACTTAATAGGACACTTACAAAACATTGATTTGGCAACATAATGGCCTATATTCAAAGTGCTTTATTTCAAAGAAAATATACCTATTTCCTTCAGATGTTAGCACTGTTTTAATTCCCTTAATGTCCGTTCCCATTACATTCATACAAAATTATATTCATTAGTTGAATCAGGATTTCCACCAACTGTTGTGACTCAAGAAAAATGTTCTACCCTTAATCTTTTCTTTTTCTTCATTCTACGCCACCTTTGCAAGCTACCTCTTGTCATTAAAATGGTCCCTCTGCCTACAATTATTCTCTGCAAAATTCTTGTAACCTCAACCTCATGTGAGTAGTCTTGGTAGCTATATGACATTTGATTTTCTGTATAACTAAGTTATTTACTTGACAGATATTTATAAGGAATGACAGAGGACTCTGCTAGGCACAGTGCTGACCAGAATGAAAACAGCTCTGGCCCCAAAGGTCTCATGGTCCCTTGTAGGGAGACCTCCATTGAATAAGCAATCAGGAAACAGACTGTAATCCAGGTGTGAGCATTGCAGAGAAAGTCCAAAGGGTGAGGAGAGGTTGTAATGGGGAATCAGACTTAGACTGAGGAGGGAGAGTTAATGAAAGTGTTCTCAGGGCTAATATGAAGCAGAGACCTGAAGAATGAGTAGGAGTGAGCCAGGCACGGCTGGGGTTAGAGCATGTCAGGCAATGGGAACTGGGTGCCTGTCAGCCCTTGGCTGTAGGTCAGGGGAATCAATGCACCCAGGGCCACAGTGCCATTCACATGGCCCTGACCTGTGGCTCTCCGAATACAACTTATTTGTTTATATTCACCCCTTGCATCTCTCCCACAATTCAACTGATATACAAGTATCTTCATGGAGGTTTACAGCATTAAAAAAGAGAAAGGAGAAGATTAGCATGAGAGGAAAGAAAAACAAATTTGAAAAAGTACAGTATGTGGACAGGGATGTGTGGGGTTGAGTAAGTCTAGGAGTTGCTGCTAGAGAGAAAGTAGGTGGCTAGTAGAGAAATTATGGAATTGCACAAAAAAAGGTCAGCGAGAGAGAAACAGCACATAGGAATAAGAATAATAGAAAGAGTAGGCAGATACTGTTACTGAAGTAACAAAGCAAGGACATGCACAAAAACATTTTCTTCATGTAGTACTTGCAGCTAATGAGACTGGAAGTGTAACAGAGTTTAGTTTAACTAGCTTCATTCATTTATTCATTCACTCATGCCTACAACAAATATGAGTGACTGAGTGTCCGCTGGGTGCTGCCGAGTTAGGATAAGCAATGGGGATTAATGTATGATTAATAGTCTGTGTGGTCATGTTTTCCAGTGAAAGGGCAAAGCATATAAATGAACACTTATGGTACAGTAAGATAAATGCTGTAAGAGAAACTCATATGATGTCAGTAATTGATTACATCATTTCTGTCTCAGTTTCAATATGTAAGATGGAGATGGACTAGGAAATAGTTTGGTGACCTTTCTCACATTAATTAGCCCACATTAGTTAGAGAAATGCCATGCAGACTTGTAACTGCCTTTCTGGCTCTATTTGTGAGACCTCACACCTGCTCTCAGCCTTCCGGAGCTGAATGCACATTACTGTGCTCGTGAGTAAATAAGTTTTTCTTTGCCACAGTATTATTGGTGTTGCATTTTTCCTTGTGTATGCAGTACTTTTTTCAAAAGCATCCTCAAAAACATTTTAAGCCCCAATAACAGGGTACCTCTCGGCCCTAGAAATAAGAGTCCCTGGAAGGAAAGGGAGGGACATGCCTACTGGTTCCACCCGTAATCCTCACCCAGTGCTCCTAGGGTGACCTCGGTCTCTCAGCCCAAAAAAGCAAGTGAGACACCACAGGGAATAGAGTGTTTGCTCTCTACTTCTGCAGAAATCAGCCCATTTTCCAACATGAGTGGGACTTTTTCAGAGTTTTAGTTTCCACTTGGCTTCCACTGAATGTGTTGTGTTCAGGAGAAAAACTTAACAGTGCGCGTGCCAGTTGTAACCACTCCAAATCTTTGAAATCTTTGTCACTTTCAGAAGATAATTTTCCATGCCCTTCTGAGCTCTTTAAAATTTCTCTAATTCATTAAAACAGTGATCCAAATAAGAGATTACAGGCATACTTCATAGGTGTTTGGAGATACATTAAGTATAATGGGGGATTCCGCCCTTTGTTGCTTAAAGAATGCCTTCAGGAATGTGTTACTGTGTTTAGACATGAAATCCAAAATGGAAGTAAACATTTTTTAAAAATCCAGGTCGTATGACAACCTCCTTACTCCGTGCCATTCATATCATTTTGGTTCCTGCCCAATTCAGAGAGTCCCTGCACTACCACAAAGGGTAGCCTACCTGTGCCTCTCCCCCGAATTCTGGCCGTTTCCGGGTCAGTCTGAAGGCCTGGGTCTGCCTCAGGGGATGTGCCTCGAAGCTTGTTATGGTATTCCCAACTCCTCTAGAGCTGAGAAGGTATCTGCTCAGGGCCCTCCTCTAGAGAAATGCCCTAGAACTCCTAGAACTGGGTTCACACAGCTGTTGGTCTCCAAAGGGATCATAAAAAACATAACCTGAAGACCCTTCCAAATACTGTTTATTTTTTACGAAGAATTTTTTTGTTTTACTAAGAACAATCCCAGAAATGATCTCTATTGATGCTTAAAACATTTCTGTGAGATAGGCACAGAATCTAGAGATTTGTCTAAGATCCCACATGTGGGGCAGCTGCATTCCGACTCTTTAAGTCCTGGATTCTTTCTCTTACCGTACACTGCCTTCATTTTCCCAATTTTTGAAGACCATATTGTCTGATCCGTAATTCCATTTTGAACTTTAATGTTTCTCTTTAACAATTTTAGAGCCACTTTTGAAAAGGACACTGGGATTGTCTCCACAACAGCTAGGAGCCATCCCCACTCCAGGAGCAGACCATGACTTATCTAAGCCAATTGGAGCCTGTCTGTCTCCTGGTTATAGTGATCAGTTCAGAGACAGGCCCATGACCCAAGCTTGTCCCTAGCAAAGCTCAGTACTCATGTTCAGTGATTACAGAAGTTTCTCACATCAGTTATGAATAAGGAGGTATGTACTATCAGGGTATTTTGCAGCCATTCCTGGCCTGTGGCCACAAGGAGAGATAGACTTCTACCATATGGAAGATAGAGCAGAGATTTGGGCAAAAATTAAGTCCTTGGTGGTAGCACTGACCTTTTAGGTAATTTCTAATCTAAAGCCTTTCTGATTATAGTTACATGAACCAATAACTTTCCCTTATCCCTTACAATTAAGGCCAGTCTGTGTTACATTTTCTGTTGTTGCCCCCAAAACAAGTTAACTGACACACCATTTAATTCAATATCAGCAGGAAATGCAATCAGCATATTCTCCTTGACGTCATCTAAATTGTCAATCAAGCTGTTGAATAGAAAATATATTAATGTTGTTTCCTAGAGCATGATAATAAGGTGACATCTGTCAGGCACACACGTTTGGTCTGACGTTGGGTATTTGTGCCTGCCTTGCCTGTTCCAGATGTTTCCTTTGTTCCCCTGGCTCTTCGGGTCTGGATCTCTGCTTAGCATCCCGTGCTCTCACCTTGTCACTTCCTTTCCAATTACACTGCAACTCGGTTCTCCCAAATCTCACTCCATGCTAACCACCCTCACGCTGCCTTCCTAGGTGAAGCTAAGTAATCTGCTCATTCATTTAACAAAAATGTGTTGTATCATATATCATATACACATGTTGTATTAGTCATATTTCTTAGTTGCAGACAGGAAAGCCCGCTCTTAATTTTACACAGCACAGGGTTAATTAAACATACAGAATTTCAAGAAAAGTTAGAAAATAGGGCTTGGATACTACCCAGCTGAGAGTAGAGCAACCAGGAGATACAGCCAACCACACCACTGCTCTACAACACACTACTGTTACCCCCATTTGGCACCTAGAACTTTAAATCCTGGATTCCAGAAGCTTCCCTGCAGCTGCCTCAAAAGAACCAGATGCCTTTACCATCACACTGCCCTGCAGATCTGATCTTCTCCCTTACGGCTACCACCTCTCATGACTCACCTCCCAGGCCCACACACGGGGTATACTTGATCAAGAAGCTAGGTCTCATGCAAAATGGAGTTGTAAAAGAGATTAGGAAGTGTAGTTTCATAGAAAGTGAAATTAGAATGGGAGTTGTCTTGAGAGCTGAGTGAGACAGCTTAGTTTCTGCCCCACATACCCGGTGGTGAGCACTGTTCCAGGCAGTGGGTACAGAGCTGTGAGCAGAGAAAGTCCTTGGCTTTGTGGAGCAGAGAATCTATAGTGAGGAAGCAGATACCAAATGAATATAATTCAGTAAATAAATGAATATAATTTCAAATAGTGATCAGTGCCAGAAGGAAAATCAAATATAGTAACAGCTTAGAGATAGATTTGTTACTTTTGGTAAGGAGTTTAGGGAAAGCCCTTGTGAAGAGATAAAATTGAACAATGATTTGAATGATGTGAAGCAGGAAGCTGTACGAAAATCTGAGGCAAGAACATTCTAGGTAAAAAGTACAACAAAGTCAAAGGCTGTGATTTGGGGATAATCTTGGCAGGGTGGGGAAACAGCAAGGCCAGGCCGGGCAATGAAAGCCTGACAGGTTGGATAGACAGGGACTGGACCATACAGGAGGAAAACTCTGGGTGAAACTGGTGGCTCCCTTTGGGAACAACCCCACTGGATCATACAGGAGCCGGGTCATTATGTGAAGTATTTGGGGAAGCTACTGGAAGGTTTGTTAAGCAGGGGAATGACTTGATATAACATATTTTATAAAGATTGCTCTACAGAGAGTAGATCGTGGGAGGGCAAAAAGAGAAGCAAGGGTTGATCCAAAGCTTTGTGTCATTGTCCAAAGAAGGGACAATGGAGGCTTGAATTGGAGTGGAGGGAAAAATGGTCCAATTCTGGGTAGGTTTTGTAGGTAAAACCAATAAAAATAGCTGATGGATTTTGGCTGTTGGAGGTGAGGGAAGATCAAGGATGATACCTAGGGTTTCAGCCTGAGCCACTAGGTGGATAGTGGCACCATTAATAATGATGGATAAAGCCTGGGAAAAAAACAGATTATGGGAGGGGATAAAGTAAAGAATAGACGTCCAAGTGGAGGCATAGTGTTGCCACAGAGATAGTAGCTCAGGGAAGTGTTCAAGGCTCATGATATAAATTACAGAGGGACATCAGAATACAGGTGTATCTAAATGCAGGGGATTGGATGAGATTACCTAGGAAGAGAGTATAGATAAGAAAGAGAAGAGGATCAAGGGCTGAGCCCTGGATCATTCCAATATTTACAATTGAGCAAGAAGACAAGGAAGCATTCATTAACTAGATTGTGAGGAAAGATGAAACCCAGGAAAGGTGTCTTGATGACCAAGTGAACAAAAAGTTACCTAAAGGAGGCAAGTACCTGTGCTGAAGGCTTACTCAACTCAGAAGTCTAGTAAAACGGCAGTCAGTGTCTGGGGCGCACTGGGTATGGTGGGAATCACACGCGTAGGAGGAGGGAAGGTGAGAACAGTGGCAGGAGTTGGCAGAGGTATTTTGAAGGGTAAGGGCCTTGGGAGGCCCTGGAAGTCACATCTGTGGGTGATTTATTACTGATGTTCTGTATTGGACTTCCCAGCACCAGATTCATCATCTTCTCAGGAAAACTCTGGGTGAAACTGGTGGCTCCCTTTGGGAACAACCCCATAGCAGCCTTTCATTCATCTAGTACCTTTCTGTTAAGTACCTAAGACCCTCAAGAAGGGTAGGATGAGCAAGCCTTAGCTGAACAAAGATAAGCTTCCCCTATCACTTACAGTGACAGCAAACATGTATAGAATGCTAATGTATGGCTAAGTACTTTCCAAGTAAATTGCACATTTTAGCTTTTAATCATCCCAACTAGTTACAAGATAGGTACTCTTTTCTCCCTATTTTACAGATGAGGAGACTGAGGCAGAGATGTTGAGTGACATGCCCTAATAAGGCTAGAATTTGGACCTGGACAATGTGGCACTAGTATCTGGGGTCTCCACCACTAACCCCTACTGCCTCTCAGAGTCCTTATTTGCTGTTCTGCCTTTTTCCCTTGAAGATGGAGCATACATATCAATTTTGGTAGGATTTAAAAGATCTGGCATGATTTACTCTTGAATTCTAATATGAGTTTTCCAACTGCTGAAAACAGAAAAATAATGTATCCAATTCTGTACAAGTTATATCATCTGTCCAAAAATTACAGGGTCTGTGATGGTATGTTTTTGCTACATTGACTTCATTCCATCTTCACTATTATTATACCAAAGATGTTTATTCTGAGACCATGTTTTAGATGTCATCCTGCATTTATTTCCTCTTATATTTTCATTGCAGCTGCAGCTTAGTTGTTTGTCAGATGTGCATTTTCTGCAAAGCTAATGCCATTATTTTCTGCTTCTCCACAGGTTATTATTGCCCTTTCAGAAAAACACCGTTTGCATATTCCCTATAGGAACTCCATGATGACCAGCGTCCTAAGAGACAGTTTGGGAGGGAACTGCATGACCACCATGATTGCAACACTCTCTTTAGAGAAAAGGAATATTGACGTATGTCGGTTCTTTTTTCTGGAGATCTCAGACCGAGATTTACTGCTTGTCTGTGAGATGGCGTGGAGGGTCCTGGGTGGGTTTCCATCTTTTCAGCTGGGTCGGGGTATGCCTTCAGAGATAAACGCTCTACAGAGTTCAGAGCTTTGGTTTATTTGCCAGGCTTATAATTACCCAATTGAGAATTGTTGACTTCATGTGGTACAGGATGGTTGGAAGAAGGCTCATGCACAAATTTTGGAAAGCCTGCTGATGTATTAGTGACCTTGTCCAGAGACCTAAGAGCGGAGACCCAGCAGCATCTCCTGCTCTGTTGGCTCGGGATTACTGAGGCACCTTGGAGACATCTCCAAGGCATGCACTGGGCTCAGCACACCTAATGCCTTGGCAGGGACTGGCTGCCAAAGTGGCTGTCCTGGGTTGCTTTGAGCCAGCTGATGTTTCATGCATTTCAGTCTAGTGTTTGAACCCAGACTTCTCCAAAAGAGGAAAACAGGAAGCAGCAGGGTGCCTCTCAAAACAAGGCCAATTCCCAAGTGTGCCGTAAGGTGCCTTGAAAAGGCAGATATTTTTTTGTCATTTTTTATGTTTGTGGATTATAGTACCTGCTGTGATTATGACTTGTATATGTGGTTTGGTTTAACAGATCAATAGTTGAAAAACACATACCAGTTGCCACTAAGAACCTCAGAATTGCCCACATTTTTGGTGTTGGTCATTTTATTAAGTTGAAATTAAATTTTCATAAAAATGAAGTTCTAAAGCAAAGCTTCCTAATTTGGAGGCATGTTTCCTCATTGTGTTTTATACATCTCACTCTTGAAATGCACTCGGCATCTTTTTTCTATGAACAATAATGTTTCTCTCTGTGTGTCATAACATTTTAAGGAGTTATTTTGCTTTCTTAGGAGTCTATATCTACCTGCAGATTTGCCCAACGAGTGGCACTCATAAAGAATGAAGCTGTTCTTAATGAAGAAATTGATCCCAAACTGGTAAGCAGCTTTTAACTGACCATGTTTTAAAAACAAAAATCAAAGTATATCAAAGATTAGCTAAAACATGAGGGGAACATACTCCATACCAGGCAAAGTTCTATATCCTGGAAACACACGAACTCATTTCATTCTCATATCAACCTTATGATTAGATGTCATCTCTGTCTCCTCTCTATCTCATCTGTTTCTCTATCTACAGATGACAAAACTGAGGCACAGTGATGCTAAATAACTTGCTCAGTGTCACAGTGCTAATAAGTAGCAGAGCCAGGATTCAAATACAGACAATCGGACTCAAAGCCCTGTCTGCTTACCTACTAAGATGTGCAGTGAGGCCTGGGGACACATACGATGGAATCATACACAGTTGTATTTACATATAGGCAGGAGACTTTCAAAAAAACAGCAGTTTAATTTTCTAATGACAATGATAATAGACCATTTTTATAAAATCTAATAGAGAAAAAGAAGTCCTAGCAATTATAAATGAACCATATTTTGCATGACTGTCCTGTTACTCCGGAAATTTTAAAAAATTAAGCATTAGTACTACCAATGGAAAAATGGCCAAGCTTCTAGTTTTATAACAATGAATCCTGCCTTATCAAAGTATTTTTTAAGCAAAAATATTTGCAAGCTACATGATCCAGCTACTCATAAATGCAGATATTTTCTCTTTTCTCTATTTTGTTAGTTTTCTATAAATGAAGTGCAACAATGAATCAACTCATGCCAACATTGAAAATGTTGAAATAAAATATTTCAGTTTTGTCAAGTTCCAAAATTAAGATCATATTACTTTTCAAATCACTCAGATTTTAACATTTTCTCTAGAAAATAAGCTGATGTAAGCTTAGCAATGTGCATTATGAAAGAGATATGAAATCTTACCAAGTGCTTCATATACAAATTTCTCAAATTCCAAAAAAGAACAAACCCAAAAGCCCAAACTTCTCAAATTCACTGTTACCCATATTAATTATTTCCTCTTGTCTGTACTTTCTCCCCTGAAATTATTCCATTGAAGCACAGAGGAAAAGGAGGAAAAAAGAATAATGGGGCTGTTTTACCTTGCTCACTTCAGGGAGTGACTTTCCTGGTGGAAATCTCTTGTGCAGAAACCAAATGGGTGAGGCAGGATCTATTTCCAGCACAGGCCCTGGTCAGATACCAGCTTCACACAGTGGCCTCTAGAAAAAGGAGGCAATTCAAAAGAATGAGTGAGGTGGAACTGAACTCCTAGGATGAATTCTGCTGTCCCTACTCTGCCAGCAGCCCTGTAACGTTACTGTGCAGCATGAGAAAGCCAATGATGGAGTTATTGGCCTGAAGGCAAAAATCAGCTCATAATTGAAGGAAAATAAGCATATTAAACACTGGAGGTTTTTTTTCCTTTAAGTCTGGCTAAGGAGACTTTTCCTTAAAGGAACTTGTCTTGAAGGTGAAGAAAGGTGAACATTATTTGGTGTTCAGGTAGGTCTATGAGAGATTTAATGAAGGAGAAATCCAGAGTCAAAAAGCTAATAGCTGATAATTGAACAAATGTTGAGGTCTTCCTGGTGCAGAATAATCTGGCAACTGACTAATGTTGTTTCCTGGTCTCTCATAATTGCCTCTAAAAATTGACATTACTTTTCATTATTCTATTGTCCTCAATAAACTTTGTCCACAAAAACACAACTTAGATGGGACTTCTGCATCTTACTCTCAAAATTTAAAGGCACATATGGAGCCAGCCCTGTAGTATTGGTACCTCAGAGAGATAAGGTGATAAAAGAACTGTGAACAGGTCAGAGCCTATAGTGACTGGTCATGGGCCAGAATCTTTTAAGGGTGGCTCTAATTCCAAAGTCCCTGCAGTAATTTGATGCAAGGGGTGACTGTAATTAATAATCTTAACATTACAATAAGTTGGCTTCGTTTTGAGATTTCTGTTCAATAAGACAGAATATAACTTCGTCATTAGGTTTGACTGAAAGTCTTAACGGAAGTAAAAAATATGACATTAATATTAATTTAGTAGAGGAAGGGTGCAAATAAATGACTCACATAGTCCCCATCTAAGGATTTTCACTCTACATAACTTGGTGACTCTAAGCATGTTTTTGAAAAGAAGCAAACAACCAAATCCCTTTCAATCCTGTGCATTTACATGAAATTCTAGAAGCACTGGTATGTTCAAAATACTGTATTTTATATCATGTTCTTTGGAACTTCTGGTCCTGTTGATGTGGTACAGATAATCTGAAACCCACCTAAATACAATTTAACAAGCATCTTTTGAAGTCTTTGAAAAATCACATGTCTGAAATTGAAGGAAGTAAGGGAATTCACCAGGGCCAGAAACAAAGCTGAGGCTGCAGCTGTCCTGGGGCAGACGGGTGAAGAGGTTGTAACAATGGCATAGAAGTTAAAGCCCTGGGATCTCCGAAGGTGAATGAAGTTGGACATCCCTTCCCCACCATGAAAGGGTGAACCAGAAGGAAAAAAAGGTCTGTGCCCTGCAGAGACAGCTGTAGGGAAGGCCACTTGCCATAGCCTGGACTCGAGGTAGAACAAAATGTGGTTTCTCTGAAAATTTGAAATCCTTCCCATGGATTTGAAGTTCAATTTTATACAATTCCCTTAGTCTGTCTGGTAACCCCCAAACCAAGGAAGAAAATGAAGAATAAAGTAAATCTAAAAAAGTAGAAAGTGTAAGAATGAGTGAAAACAAGAGCTAAAGTGAAGATACAGTGGAGAGACACAAAACCTGAAGTAAATTTTTAGATTAATAGAATGAACAAACCTCTGGAAAGATTAATGAAAAAAACTTAAGGCACAAATTGGTACAATAATATTTTGAATGAAAGGACTCAACTATAGGTACAGTATATATCTTAAAATAATAATAAAGTACTCCAAATGACTTTATGGCAATAAATTTGAGAAGTTAAACAGGGAGGGAGAAAGAGAGAGGGAGTAAGAGGGGAAGGAAAGAAGGAGAGGGGAGGGAAGGAGGGAGGCAGGGAGGGAGAGGGAGGGGGAGAAAGCAGGCAGGAAGAAGGGAGAACCAGACTTGCTGTTTTTTTAGGTTTAACAAATATTGAAGGAAGAATAAAAATTAAATCCAGCCAACAATTTTTGTTTAACAAACCTTGCATTATGATCATATGATCATTAATATGATACGTGGTATCATGACTTACTTGGGTTTATTTCAAGAATTTAAGGATACTCTATCATTAGGAAGTATATTAATGTGTAGTAAAAGAAAAAACGTGGTGGAGAAAATAAATATCAAATTTAGGGTAATGGTAATGGAGAATTCACTTAAGGAAGGCTATTCAGGGGTAAGGGCTTCAAAAGAGTGCATAATGTTTATTTCTTAAGTAGTACATACATTGGTGTTTGCTTAAGCTAAGTAGTAGGCACAGGGTAGTCTTTGTATCTTTGTGTATCTAAAGTAGCTAATATTTAAAAAATCATATGAATTAAGTGATTCATCACACCTACAGCTTAAAAGAGAAAAATTATATGATCCCATCACAAGATGCAGAAAGTGTATTTGATGACATTAGCCATTCATCCATAGTTTGGAAAGACTCATCAAACAGTGAATGTAAGTGAACATCCTTAAAATGATTAAAGGTATCAACCAAAATCTAAAGCAAACATTTGAAAGGTGAAATGTTAGAAAGAATAAGACAAGAAGGTCTTAAGCATTGTACTTGGAAGTCCTAGCTAGGAAAAAGACAATTTTTAAAAAGTATATGAAAAAAGAAGAAAAACGTCTGTCATTACTTGCAGACAATTTGATTATTTATATGTAACATCCAAGAGTATTTAATAGTAAACAGAACCAAAATAGTCTTCAGAAAATTATATAGTACATAACCATTCATAAAAATGAATTGCCTTCTTATACAACAGAAGCCAATAATTATAAAATGCAATTTTATAAAAATTCCATTTACAGCAAGCAACAGAAACTTTAAAATTCTTGGAACAAAATCTAATTAAAGAATTAAATATTATATTAAAAATCTAATAGATAAATACATTATATTAAAATATATTTAAAGAGAAAATTATAAATCTTTATTAAAAGGAATCTGTGGAAAACCATACCATGTTTATTGATATGATGGTTCAGCATCATTAATTTGATGTTACCAAATTAACCTTTTAATCAAATTATTTGCAATTAAAATTTGAGGAGAGCCTTTGGTACAAGTTGGGTCTAAAATTTATATGAAAGAGCAAATGACCAAAAAGAGCTAAGTCCATTTTGCAAAAGAATAAGATGGAAGGGGCTTGTTCTATCTAGATGCCAAATTTATTAAGTGATAGTAATTAAAACAGTGTGGTATTGTTCTACATATAGTCAGGCAAATGGTTTTAACCAATAGCCCAGAAAAAGAAGCATTTTTTGCAAAAACATGTTATATAACTGAATTATAATAACAACTTTTGCATTGTTAACTGTATAAAAAATTAGATCCATATCTTGTACATTATAAAAAATAAAATCAGCCTAAATGTGAAAAGCAAAGCTTTAAATCTTTTATAAGAAATACAGGAACTACTTCTATGGTTTAGGTAAAATAGATTTTCTTTAAGATACAAAAATACAACTCATAGCAGTGGAAGTTGATATTGAAATTATATTGAAATTTAGATCTTTCATTTAACAAAAAGAGCACTGTAAGTGAAAAACATGACATAGATTAGGAGAATACATGTGCACTGCATAAAACTAGCAAAGGGTTCATGTCCAGAATATATTAAGAAGCCTGCAAATCAATAAGGAAGAGAAAAACAACTCAACTGAAACATGGGCAAGAATGTGAATAAGTTAATTCACCAAAGAGGACACCTGAATAGCTAATATACATATGCAAAGATGATCAACCTCACTAATAATCATGAAAATGCAGATTAGAACTAAATGAGATACCACTTTATACCTACCAGATTGGCAAAATTCAAGTGTCTGTCAATGTTACATACCTAGTGACAACAATGTGGGGAAATCCATCAGTATGATTAGCTGATGAGAAGGTAAATTTATGCAACTATTTTGAAGACCAGTTTAGCAATATATAATAAAATGAAGATGCATATGCTCTGCCACCACACTATTTTAATTCTACGTGTACACTATAGAGAAACTTCCACATATGTACACAGAGATTTATGATGTTCACAGCAACGCTGTTTGTAAAAGCAAAAGTAAAATCCTAAATGCCCATCAAGAGGAGATACAGGCAAATAGTGATATAGTCCTTTACTGAAATACTATATATCCATGAAAATTAATGAACTAGAGCCACATGAAATAGTATGAATAATCTCAAAAACATAGCATCAGAGATAAAATAAAACAAGTTACAATTTAATTACATTGCAGTCTGGTAACATTTACATAAAATCTAAGGCATGCAAAATGATACCATATGCTATTTGCACCCATACATATGGAGCAAAAGTATGAAAACATGCAGGGAAATGCTACCCACTAAGTGCAGTATAGTGATCACCTCAGGGAGAATACAAGGGGAATGGGAATTAGGGACTCCAGTTACATCGGTACTGTTTTATGTGTGGAAAAGAAGTCTAGAACTATTTTGGCAAAATGTTAGGATTTAACAAAGCTGTGTGGTGGGTACAGGAGTGCCTTTATCTTTTTCTGTACATTTTTGTATCCTTGAAACAGTTTTGAAAAGCTGTAGGTTCTCTGTCACCTTAACAAGGAGTTGCCATTTACTCTCCCGCCTTGCCGTTTGTAGATGATAACGCGCCTACAAAAAGAAATCCAGGAACTGAAGGATGAACTGGCCATCGTCACCGGGGAGCAGAGGACAGAGGCACTCACAGAAGCAGAGCTCCTTCAGTAAGCCTGCAGAGTTTTTTTTCTTTTTCTTCAACAGTGAAAGTTTGTGTTCACTTTTTCATTGGCCCTCATATAATGAATTCACCTCAAAGCACGGAGGTCTCCGGGGACAGTCTGAAATTGCATTTAGGCGCCAGTTAGAGCGGCGACTTTCCATGAATAGCTAGATAAGGCTGGCAGTGTTTTTGCCGCCTCGGCTTTGAGAAAGTAAGGAACAGAGCATAGAGAGGATGGGAATATCCTTCTCATGCCAGCTGAAGAAAATGGGTTGTATAATAGTCATGCAGTTTTCAAACATACACACCAAACTCTCTTAAGCTGTGAATCTCAGATCTGAAAGGAATTCAAGAAACGTCCTTTGTATTAAACAGCATCTTGCTGCAAGTACCAATTTATCCCATGCCAAAGTAAGCTCTTTCCTTTAATAAATAGATGGCCCATACATTATAGTTCAAACGCTCAAAATGCGAATGAAAGCAGGTATTCAGGGCTTTATACAAATGCGGCATCTTTCAGAGTCTTTAGATTTGCAGCCATATGGCATGTCAGTGGTACAATGTGGCTCTCATTCTCTCTCTGATCATGAGCCACAATGGTGGGCTTTCTTGTTGTTTCTGTGCTGATTATTAAGCACTTGGGGAGTGATAATAATGGACAAGGCTTAGAAGGGAGGGGTATCTCCATTTCCAAATAAGAAATAGAAATACACAAGACTTTTCTAAAGGACACGGTCATTTCTCCTAACTTTCTCTCAATAGAGAAAATGGTAAATAATAGAGATGATGAAAGAATTCTATTTCATGGCTACCCCTTGAATAAGTCTAAAGCTGGAGAAGCCTTAAGCAAAGTTTCTCTTATACTCAAAGCTTTCACTCCTGTAGGGTAGCATTTCCCAATTCTAAAACTCTGTGTTTAATAATATGATAGGCCCCTAGGGCTTTCCTTACAAAACTGCTTTGTGGCATATATGCAGTTAAAGTGAAATATATTGCCAAAATTCACATTTTAAAGAATTTCGTGTGACTCCTTGAATTAATTTGGGATGTCTTAGATATTGAGAAATCCAAGTTGAGAATTCCTTCACTATGGTGCTCTCTTGGCCTCAAAGAAAGGAATTATTAATTACTGTCTTTGAAGATACCTCTTCAGAATTTTGATCTTCAAGACAGGATTCAAGAAAACAAAGCCATTCTAGACCTCTCAAGAAAAAGAATTTAATATAAGGAATTGATTGTGCAGGAGATGATACTGCGGGAATAATGTAGACCCCAGAGTCAGGAATGGTAGGAGCTCCTATACACTTGCAACCTGAGGGCCATTGATTGAAGGTTGTATTACCAAAACCTAATGCTGAAGCTGACCACCAGGAACTCCACCGTAATGAATGCTGTCCAGTGTAAGGCGGTGCCACTGAAGAGCCAAAGGTGCTGTTAGAGACATCATCCCAGTGGGGAGCCCTAGTTTTTTTCCTCATCCCGCCCACCAGTCTTTCATCAGTGCCTCCCATTGGCTGAACTTACCCAGAAGCCAGCTATTAGAATAGTCTGGGAATGTAGTTTCCTGCGATGCTGAGTCAAACAGAAGAAAGGGGGAAATGAGATCAAAGTACAAGCAGAGAAATGACTTTTCCCTAATTCCTGTATAACCTGTTATGTTGCTCAAGAGGCTCATTTTAAAGGTAAGATTCTGACTCTGGTGGTTTCAGGTTGAGTAAGTATATGCTGCAGGTACCCTCCACTGCACCAAATGTGAGCAGCTATAAAGAAACACCCGAATCTCTAGGCACACCAAGTACAACGTGTAAACTTCTCAAAGAGCTATAGGCTTCAAGGAATTCCTGGAATACTGAAAGGTGAGGTTGAGATGCACAAGAGAAAAGGAGAGATCAAGACCACGGGGGTGGCACCATGAAGGCTCCATGTCTAGAAGAGGTGGCACTCTGGAGCAGGAGAAGGCTAGGAACAGCCACCAAGGGTTTGGAGAGCTGTTGTCTTGGGAGCAGTTTGTGAACCACTGTGTACTCCTTCCCTTCACCCCCAAGTGTTTAGGTCAGTGTCTAGGATGGAAAACCAAGGAAGGGCCAGGTAGCTGATGATGTCCAGGACAAAGCGGAAGCAGATGAGCTCTGAAGACTAGCTGCTATCCTCAGCTCTGTACCTCCCCTGTTCTCAGGGAAAACTGTAAGGGGCATAAGCACCCATGGCTGCTTCAGTCCCTCGTCCAGGACTGGCTGCCCAAGCTGAGAAAGCTGAGGGTCTAGAAAAGATGAGCTCACAGACAGGAATGACTAGAAATAAGAGGACTGTAAACATCAAGAAAGACAAGAACAAAAAGCATGTACAGCTTTGAGGGCTTCAGTGCTAAACTTTACAAGGCAAGTGTTTATTATCTTTAGAAATATAGAAGACAGTATTACATCTGTGAAACACGACCGAATCTTCGTTTTTATAGGAACAGAATCAAGAGATCTTGAAAATGAAGAAATGTATTTATTGCCATTAAGAACTTAATGATGGCTTATGAGTGTCATTAAGAACTCAATGACAGTAACTTAATGGTTGCCATTAAGAACTTAGGTAGCTGAACAGCAGAATGAAAAAACAGAGGGGCAGATTAGTGAGCTAAGAAGACCAGAGCTAAGGAATCCTTCCAGAATATAAGATGAGAGCATAAAGAGAGAGAAAGTTTAAAAGAGAAGTGTCATAGAGAATAGCTCTAGATTTACCAAGATCTACCAAATAGGAGTTTATGGAGGAAAAATAGAGATAATGTAGGGAAGCCAATACCTAAAGAAATAATATCTAAGAATTAGAACTTAGAAAAAAAGACGTAAGATTTGAGAATGAGAGGATTACCGTCTGCTAAGTAAGCAGAATAATACTGCTGAAAATTTGTAGAACCTCAAAATATAGATGAATTCCAAAAGTTATAAGAGCAGAAAAATATTACTAACAATCAGGAGTTTGATTGAGAGCAAACTTCTCATCAGCCAGTCTGTAAACAAGAGCTTCCACTGGAAAATAAAACAAAACAAAAAAGGACTTTGAATGGAGATTTCTATATTTAGCTAAATTTGTATTCACATGTGAAGGTGAAATAAAGGCATTTTTCAGACATATAAACTTTCAGACAGATTTTCACCACCCCAGATCCTCTCTTAAAGAGACTACTAGAATATTTCACAAAAAGAAAAATGCAATGAAGTATAAGAAACAATAATGAGCAAATTCAGTTATGTTTTCTTTATGATACTTAATACTATATTTTATTTACTTTATATCTTTTACTACTTTACCATTTATTACACATGTTTCCATTTAGAGTCATTAACAACAATCAGATTTGCCACTCACAGGAGTTTGAGGGGCAGAATGGAGAGAAAATTGTGACAGCAGATTTAAGATAGTGAGGACTCTTGGATCATGGACTGTTTTCCTTTGATTCACAGATTATAAATGCACAAATGTCAATTGGAATAGATTCTACATAGACAATATGTAGGGTTGCCATTAGTTTTTCTGAGCAATTAGCTCATTCATTCATTCAACATTTATTATTAATTTGGTACTCACAAAACTCTACCCTAGGTCCTGAGAGGATCACAAAGATGAACAAAACCTACAACCAGCTCTCAAGGGTACTATCAATTTAGTAGGCAGTGATAGACATGAGCACAAGTAATTGTGATGCAATATATAAGAATTATTAGAGGATATAAAGAAAACAAGATTGTAGAGATAGTAGTGATAATTCTGAGCTCAAGAATCTTGTAAGATTAGTTCATGTGCTAATAAGTAAACTTCAACAATTCCCAAAGAAATTATCTTCATGTTGTCACAATAAGTGCACTATATAGCATTACATCTTATTGATGATTTCTGATCTGCAGTTCGGGAAAACAAATGTTGCAAACTAGAGTGGGCCCTTCAACAACATGGGTTTGAACTTCATGGTTTCTCTTATATGTGGATTTTTTCAGTAAATATATTGGAAAATTTGGGGGAGGTTTGTGACAAATTGAAAATTAGTTTCTATTCTCTAGCTTGCTTTATTGTAAGAGTATAGTAAACATAAAAAATACATATTGTTTATGTTATACATAAGTCTTCCTGTTGTGGTAGCAGGCTATCAGTAGTTGAGTTTTTGGGGAATCAGAAGTTGTATGTGGAGTTTGGACTGCGTGGGCAACTGGTGCCCCTAACCTCCATGTTGTTTAGGAGTCAACTGTATAGCCACCCTATCGAGGCAAAGCGTAGGGTTTTACAAAAATGCACTAACTTAGGTGTTTGTTCATACTGACAGTGAGGATTATTCAAGTAAGTGGGGTTTTTTTTGTTATTGTTTTTGTTATCTTGTTTTTGCAGTTATGTTTTGCCATAATTAGCTAGATTGGATGTTGGTACAACCTAAAATTCATTAGGTTTAAGAGTCCTTTCACATCTCAAAGTAAAAGAGATCAATTAAAAGTTGCCCCTAATGTGGCACTGCTATTTAATATTATTAGTCCATGCTTCTTTGTTTTCCAGGCCCCTGGACATTTACTCAGGAGTGTGAATCAGCTCCTGTCGTCTCGTTGTGCCCAAGCCCCCCAGTGGCCAGGATGGGAGGGGGACACCAGTTGGAAAGGAAGAGTCCCAGAGCTTGGCAGGACAGAGTGGCAGAAATGTTCTCGCTCTGGTCTGCCTCTCTGCTTGCTAATGCCTGGGCTTTTACTGACTGGCATGGCATAAGGACATTCTAGTCAGGGATTCTGTGAAGCTTGTCAGAAAGCGGATATTTAATAGATAACATATTCTACGCAGTATGCATTAGACAGTTTAGAGATTTCTGTTAATATCTAGCTAGCCCTATCAAAGTTTTTGAACTATTTTCCACCATTTCAGTTCTTAATGTAAATATTTGTTGTATTAACTCGGATGCTTCGATTGAAGAGGATTTCAGATGTCAGCCTCAAGTTATTGTGATATTTTTAGTTTACATCTTTTTTTGCCTGTGTAAAT